AGCACATATAAACTGTTAGTTGCATTTTATTAATTTACCTCCAACAAAAATAACTATAAAATAAAAATATATAAGTTAATACATTATAGAATTATACGAATAAAAGTAATGAACTTACTGGCCATTTCGTACTCACCTCCGTTTTCGCTAGCGTCTGTCATTTCCTGCAACATCCGGAAGGCGTATGATGGAATAGATCCTCCTTTATATCGTGGTTCATTCGGACCATCATCGGTTTGGTCGCCATCTTCATCTTGGCGATTGTTCATGTTGGCTTTGAAAGCAAAAGGCCTCATTAAACCGAAGTTTTGGAGATTGAATTATGAAGATGCTATTTTGTTTTTTTAAATAACAATCTTTGTTTAGATGAATCTATTTTAGATTGGTAACGTTTAATGTTTTCACTTAATACAATGAAGAAACTAATCATTTTGTGAGTTTGTTCAATCGACGATATCGAGGGTGTAATCCTTTATTTCATTATAACTTCATCTATATGTTAAACACCTGAATCTGAAAACCCTCCCCTGCTCTTTCATCTTTAAATAACCATATTTGATACAATAGAGGATATGCACTAAAAATGAAGTAAACACTAGAATTAAATTTAAAACAAATAAAAGATATCACACCTGAAAATCACTCCATTATACGATCACAGACAAGGGTTTTTGGAATATAAGCATAGCTTGTAATGCTTTGTTAACTGGTTAATCTGTAGTTCGTACATATATAACAAAAAATAGCATTAACTTTTTAAAACTTTGAAATATCCTTTTCAACAGAATGTTCAGCAGTAGAGGGCACTAAACATACTAACTCATCATAACTCCACAACACTGTTTATTCTTTTCAGATCTTTCAAGCTTTATTTAAGCAGTTCGTCAAATCAAATCACGATTTAGCGTTCAATATTTAGATAACTCGTGATCTCATTTGATTTAAATGTTGAAAACTTAAAGTATAACAATCATTATTACGAGTATATTACCACCCAAATATATCTTCAAGAATATTATAATATAATATTATCTCAAGCATATTATATTCATAATATTTATTAAAACATATCTATTTCTTGATACAAGTTTTGATAATTTGAGGATTTAGTCCAAACGAGGAGATAAAAAATTTTTTTCTTACCGGTAGGTGGTGGTGGTGGAACATAATAACCATCATCAGGACCTGTCATGCGTTGAACCGCTTGAAAAGTTCGAGACGGTATTGGATTCTTCCTCAGTCCAGAAAACCTCATTTCATCTTCTTCGTGTTTCTTTGGCACCTCTAATGCAAATAAGTGTAAACTTCCTTAGTGAGGTACTAATGTCACGAGATTATGGATGCCAGTAGTCTTTTTATATGTCAACTTAGAATATAAGCTTCAGTGAAGAAATCTCTTTTGAAATGTCAATAGTCACAAAACTTTATAGAGAATCACATCAAATACAAAAAAATAAACTTTCATTCCAAGTTAACTTAACAAACATTGGGTTAGTTTGCAATGATTATTTATTCTCATTCAAAGCCTTAACTTAAAATTGTTTCTGTTTTAGGATGTACCATAGTGACATATGTGTATGCAGAAAAACAAATACCTTAGTTACATACTAGTGAAATATATCCCATTTAAAAAAATATATTCTTATAATGCATACACACTTGTGTAAAGTATTGGATATCTTCTTGACATTGGTAAAGACTCCGATTGAAAGATGTAAAAATGATCTATAGAGGTAGAAGATGTAATTTGTATATATATATATATATATTCATGAATGTTAGATCAATACCATATTACATTCTCTACTAACTGGACGGAAGTTATGCAATTTCATGATTAATGAAAGGTTACCTTAGGACATGAAAAGATGCTTCCCTTACATGTAATTCTAAAAAACGCCCATAAAAACTGCAAGAAACAAAATGTGGAACAGTAACTTCACATGTATTTCTGCACGGACCCAACAAACTTTCATGTCAAATCTGGTGAAGAGCCATCAACACGGGGCGAAGTAGTGGTAAAAAAACGCAAAACGCTTATAAAAGCTGAAAATTTGTATGTACTTCCGCATGGATCTAATGAGCCTCCATGCCAATTTTGATGAAGATTCATTTACACCCTGCGAAGTAGTTACATGGACATACAATAGACAGTATTATTATATTTATACAGATATTCTTTACTATTGTTACATTAAGAAACATTTGATTAATTTCACAATATATCTTGTTTCTCCATTACACTATGATTTTTTGTGGCTTCTGAATTTTAAGTTACAATATAAATAAATCCTTTGTAAGTCACTAAATAATAAAGATAATAATTTGTTTAAATCTGTGGCAAACTTTTATACTTTCTCTTTTGAACTTTTGTGGTACGTCTGAATTACTTTTCTATTAAAATGATTAGTCATAATTAATAAATAATGTTCTTACAATAGTTATATTTTAATCTTTCGGTGAAATCTGTAATCGTTTGTTTGTTGATTTTATCTGTAAACTACACAATACGTCGTAAGATATTATTGGGTTTACAGCAAGAGTTACCCAGCTGATGAAACAATGAATTATAATTTTTATAAGTAAAAAACGTAAGAACAGTATATTTAGTTGGCTATACTTAGCACTGGGTTGATCTAAGTAGTTTGCTATAATCACAAGTTAATATTAATTATCTTTACTCATACGTTCAGACGTCCCCTTTTGGTCATCGGTAAAGTTTGTAGACTTACAACGCTAAAATTCAAGGTTCGATTCCCCGCAGTGGACAGAGCGTAGAAACACTTCAGTCAGCTTAGATTTGTTTGTTTGTTTGTAGTTATGCACAAATCTACACAACGGGCTATCTGTGCTCTTCCCACCACGGGTATCGAAACCCGGTTTCTGGCGTTGTAAGTCCGCAGACATACCGCTGTGCCACTGGGGGGGCAGTCAGCTTAGAACATTTAGGTTAGTCCAAAATCCATATAATAAGTTATACAAAATAATCTCTATAATAAAAATATGATAATAGAAAAATGATAAAACTAAATATATATATACAAACATAAAAACAATTTGAAGTTATTCCATTCCTCAAAGTTTTCAAACAGTGAAGGAATGAACTTAACGCGAATGTCATAAGTGCTAATTTCCTGTTTCAGGCATCCTATTAAATATGTATATTGTATAAATTGCAATGCATCTCTGAAATTTTCTCTTCTTTAAGTCTATTTTTTTGTTCATCTTCTCCTGCACAACAAGACGTTACACTGCAACACATCTAGACACATAACCCTTATAAAGAAAACTTAAACATTTGAATCAAAGAAACACACTATTCAGTGTCAGACAACTGAATAAATGTTCAACGGTGTAATCATAGCCTTGTATTGTAGTAAGTGCATCATACAAATTGAATACCTATGCTGAAAATTGTGCTTACGTAAGCGTAATGATAATACAGATTTTTAAAAGCGTATTCTTAATATCATCTAAATTTTAATGCTTTTAGATGTTTTTTGTGCCTTCTTTCTCTTCCAGTCGTTATTAATGTTTTTTTACAGGCGTTTGAATGTACTGACAGTCCTATTAGAAGGCTTGACAACGAACTAATAGGGAGAAACCAAACAGTAAACTTTTTCGACAAAAATAATTTCGAGTAATAGTTTAGTGATAAATTTGCTTTACTCTATATTCTAAATTATTGGATACTGAAAATTATTTCTGTGCAAACATTCTAACTTACTTTCTCTTAAGTATGAATATTTTACTATATTGACTGGTACAGCTTTTTCAGAGGGAAAACTCACTTAAATATAATCAGGTTTCTTACATTGATTTTTAAAAACTTCACTAACAGTATTGACAAGAAGAACGCGCTCCGAACTTTGAAGGCATAGTTACGCTATAACAATAAGGTCAAATCCCAAATGTGGTCACACAAAAGTCGCCCAAAAGTTAACATTGAGTGCTGTTGACTAAGCGCCTTTCCTGTAGTCTGTCAGTTCTAAATTATAGATGGCATAGATCAGACAGATCATTTGAGTAACTTTGCTCGAAAATTCTGAAGAATTATGTAAAAAGTAATTCTTGACGAATTCAGTAAATGAATCTGTTTGATGCGTTAAACAAAAATACTCTGTACACGTGACATGGACCATCCCCGCAATAAAACTTAGTAGGTATAAATACAGACACCCGTCTGATACGTAGATTAGTAATGCAAGATGTCAAAACTTCGTGAACTGCGTATGTTTGGAAGAGGAATTATGGGTTGCTGGAAATGTAGAAAATTTATATCTCAAATAGTTACGAAGGGGTGGTTATGTGCAAACTATAACATATAACACTATTCAAAAGAATGAAGAACTTGAATTTATAACACTAACAAAAAAAATATAACGCTTTAAACGGAAAGCGCTTTGAAAAGTTTTTTGAATGTTGTTGTTTAAGAATGTAGAAAAGTACGGAAAGTCATCTTAGGATAATAATCCCAGCCACAAAGAAAATGAGACCTATTAATATTTTGTTTGGATTGTTTTTAATGAACATTATCAACATCAACCCAAAGCCTATAATTTAACTTTATAGAACATCCTTGGAATCATATAGAAAGGTTAATTTTGAAGCTTAGACCGTAGCTTCTTAGTTATCATCTGCTAGCCGAGCTTTTGGAACAAACAATGGAGAGAAACTGCATCAGACACTTAATTGAAAAAAAGTCAGGTCTGACAGACTAGCAGCATTTGTTCAAGTGAAGAATGATTCTATCTCTCTGAGGCAGTAATTCCAAATCACCTATCTTTGGCAGTGTATCCGTACACTAATGGGTCTGACAACTAACAGCATAATTTCAAGTAAAGAGTGATGCTATCTCATTAAAATAGTGATTCCAAAGCTATCTTGCACTACGTATTCCAAACTTTTGACAGTGTATCCGTACACTAATGGTCTGTAC